TGTTATCTCAGTTATTGTTTTAGTGAAACAAATCAAAATTAACATGTAGTCAATACTTTCTAATTAAAAATCTAGATTTTGACATGAGACCAAATAAAAATATTTGTTTAAAATTTCTAGATATCTAATAATAATTCGCCAAGTATACACTTGATATTTACATTCTATTATGACAAAGTCAACCATGATCAAGTTTTTGATTATTTAAAATAATCAAAAAATACACCAACTCACACATACAGCATTGGGTTTATAATTGTATATATAACAATTCTTACAAGATAGTGTTTTGTTGATTAAAACTTTGATATATCAGTATATCAAAGACACATGAGTCATGTACGAGTATACCAAACAAAAACCTGATTAATCTACGTGGATTACATATTGATGTTTTAATTAAAAGCTTCAAAAAAACATTGTTCAAATTTGATTTAACACTCTTTTATAATACTTGTGTTGTAATTTTCACACAATTTTTTAAATCTAAATCATATTTTAGCTAATCCAAGTTAGCAATACACATAAATTAACTACTTATTACAATATCAACAATTTATCAAGTTAAATTATTACTTTAAATATTACTATAAATCAATCAATGTTTATATCAATCAAAATACAATATGTTTGCTATGTTGATATTTTAAAGTTATTATGTAGTCATATCATCTTATGTTTTTAATCTATGTGCATATACTGCATAAAGATTCTATTTGTATATATAATTTAATATTTAATTTTAATCACAAAATATCATATTTAAATATATAATATAATCAAATAAACTTATTATCACATGAAAACTTTTTTTGCAAATATTTAAATAAAATTTAAATATTTTTATATAAATGTAAACAGTTTTTTTTATATTTCATAAAGATATATGAAATAACTCATATTAAATAAATAAATTTTTCATCAATTAAATAAAAAATCTTGTTATATCACAATATATAAGATATATGATATGTTATTATAAAATAAAAATTCTTTTGTATTTAATATATAAATACAATTATAGACGTTAATATATAATTGTAATATCATCATATAAGTTTTGCAACAAATGTATATAAAAAAGAATCACTTCTCCCGTCTAATCATACTCAAGATATGATATGTAGGGCCTGGCATGACTCTGGATTCTTGACTTTTTTTTTAATCCTTCGGTTTAGTGGATTCACGAATTAAATGCTTCCCTCAACTACATAGTGTTACTTTTTCTCTTTTCTAGAAATTGTAAAAATGTTAAGATAAAAAATGTTATTCAAACTTCTCCCGTGGTAATGAACTAAAGATTAACACTTGGTGAAATGCACTTGTAGTTGAAAGTGTCACTTTTACATGACATATGAAGTTGCTTGTATCGGCAGGGCGTGTTCTAATGTGTGGGTTAGATCAACTCATCATAATGAGAGCTTAGTACAAAGTAATCTTGAAATATGTTTATGGACACATTATAATTCATAAATTGGCTGCATTTGAGCTTGAAAAGTTACAAATTTTGTAGTTTGTCATTCGTCATGTTAGTGAATTTGTTGTGAGAGTATGATGATTTTGTACTACCTTGTGGAACTATCAAGAAATTTTGGAGTAGACTAATAATTATGTGTAGTTATGACAAGTTAGTAGTAATTTGAAAAATAAAAAATGTAGAGTTTAGAGAAGTTATTTTGAAGTTACCAAGAGTATGTGTCTGATCTACTCCACTATAGTCTTAAGGTTTGTAGGTAATGTATTGAAGTTACTGAATTTGTATATAACATGGTAAAGACATATTACGATGTTCAGCGGTCAGACTGCTCATTGGATGTAGTATGAGCATAACTTCTATCATGATTACTTTTCATATGGTTAATAGTAGGGAAAAAAAATTGAAATTTTTTTCACATTGTGTTAGTATAGTAGATAGATTGTTTTCATATTTCCTTCACCAATTCGTAGTGTGAATTGGAGGGTGGCAGCACGACGTGGACTTACTATTTGAGACTTGATGGACGAGAATGCATTGCGGACGCTGTAGACGAAAGGTGATGAGGGGGACGTTAGAGATCGAATTAGAATCGCATGTGTATGTTGTGTTGTACTATGTTGCTTCAAACTTGAAAGTTGTTGCTAGATGTTTTATTGTGTTTGGATACTTTCTAGTTTTGCTTCTTGATTGCATAGAGAAATTGATATATTTTATTAATAAAAAACTAATTTTTATTTTCTATAAATTTATACACTGACATATGATGTTTCATATCAATACTTATATCTTATAAGTATCAGATAAATATTATTATATTTCACACATTAAATGTATTTCAATGAAATTTATTATATAAATAAAATAAGAAACATATTTTTAATAAAAATATAATATAAGAATTTATCAATTTAAATGCATATTTTAAATTTATTATTAAATTCAAATTTCTTGATATACATCATCTAATAATTTATTATTTAAATATTTTTTTATCATTATATGATAAATTATACATTATAATGCATCATAGCAAAATACACTGCTAGAATATACATTATTTTTTATTTAAATTTTTATATGTTTTTCTAAATGTTACAAACATATATGTGCCCAATTTTTGTAATTCTTATTGCCAATGCTACCTTCTTATACTTTCAAGATAACTGTGAATAGTTCAAATACAAAGACTTCATCTGAAAGCTTAATTATAACGGGTAGTAAAATAAATAAATAAATAAATATTAAAAAATCTAATCATAATTGTTTACACAACAATGAATTTAAGTGATTCGTTTGATGTATCACGAAATATAGAGTTTTTGTTAAAATTTCATTTTTTTGCATAAATTATGCAAAACACAAAAATCAAATTGTGTGGGTTGTTGTACCTTGTATTTATGAATATACTAATAAATATGAAGGTATTGTTGAAAAGTCAAAACAATCCAAAAACATTAACTTTGTGTCAAAGTCTATTATACTATTTCATATACGATATTTATTTGATCATTGTTACTTATATTAAATCTATCACATATATGTATTCAAGATATATTTTTGATTGAAAAATAATCAAATATATTCTCTGACTTTTTTGCTAATGTTCATTTATTAAATCATAAAAAATCATGCATTGTAATTTTTATAATATTAAAAAAATCGATTATATATATATATATAATTGTGTTTACGTTTTCATCAATAAAAATATCTCATTAAAATTAATATATTAAAATGATTAAAACATTTGTGATAATAAAACAAAATTAGAATGAAAATTAATCTCATTGAGTTCAACAAATATTAATATGTCAAATTCTAAATTTCATTATTTAAAAGAGGTTAAAAATATTTAATTCATTTTTCCACACACTTTATTTTAATTAAATTTTTAATCTGCAGATAGATTACCTAGCATATAATAAGAATATTCCTTCATCTTTTTATTTGTTCCTTACGTAGATCCTTTTTGAAAATCTCATATTATACATATAAATAAATATAAAATCAGAATGTGATATATGTAGATGTGATGATTTGAAATCAAATCTTGAGTAATTTTGAAGAATATTTTTTTATGTAGTTGCAAAATGAAAAAAAAAAACATTACTGATTTGCAAGTTTAGAGTGAACTGCATATAAAAAAATTCAATAAAATAAAACCTAAAATTTGAGATGTGAGCTATAAATTTAGCTTCATTTCTTATCTGATGTACAGTAGCAGATTAATTTTTAATTGTAAAAATATGGTATTTTGATTTTAGTTTTAAACCATAATTAAAAACTAAATAGAAACCATGAAATGAATGTCTAAAACATATATTTGTATAGAAAATTGATATAATAGCATTTACGCGGACATTTAAGTGACATATACAATTACAAACTTAAATCATGAACATTATATTATTTTTTTCAATTAATTCAAAACTTAATGTATATATTTCGATATATCTACAAATTTATGTCACTGCATTACTAATATGTGTATAGGTGTATATAGGTATTGTATATGTTTGATCATTATCAGTTATCTTCATGAAGAGGTATGGGGGTATGAAAAACTTTGATCATTTAGTGAACAAAGTATAATTTTCAATTCACAACATCAAGTTTTATGTATTACTCTGATGTTGTTGTTGAGTGGAAAGACATTCAGCTACTATTGGTATAAGTTGAAGCTGAGTGAGGTAACTTGGCACCAGAATAGGAGTTTAGAGATGCATACATGGATATCATATATTTACAATGGTAACATACAATGATCAAGATGTTTAATGAGTTTAAACAATCAAAAAATGATATTTGATATCCTTATACATGAATAATAATTTGGATACTATCATTCATAATTAGAAAGTTTGATTACACATCCGAATGCTTTGGGTATGGAAAGGTAGAGGACAAGTTAGAGATATGGTGAATAAACTTTATTATCAATTAAACTTTGGAATAATGGAAAACTCGACTTTTTTTGGTGAGAGATATGATGACATGGATATCACTATCTTCAAACTATCGTACAGAATGTTTACTCCATGCGATCCCATTATCTATAGCGATTATTCTTCTTACTACATCCATGTTGTCTATAAACGGCGCTGACATGGGTAGTCGAGATAACGCAAGTCCATAAGGATGCTGTACTATACATGTTTACTCTAGTCCCCATGTTACGTGGTGGATTTCATCTTTCAAGACATGCTTGAGTCGTCTCGTCTCAACCTGTTCACAACATTACCGGGCGCTCCAGTCCTCGCCTACATCCTCTGAACGAGCGAGTGAGATATAACGCGGAGTAGTACAGTTAATTCGCAGTCAAACCGGTGGCCGATGAAGATTCTCAGCATCAAATCTGAAACCACGTATCCAGACCGAGGCACAAGCGGCGCTTTAATCCGGGTCGGAACACAAAGGAAGGGGACGCCCGGATGATGACATGGATGACGGATGGTGACGGGGATGACGAGAGAAGACGGTTGAAGGAACACCGGAAGGAGCTGGAGCTCGTGCCCTTGCCGCGAGCACCAGCGAAAAGCGCGAACGAACGAAGCCCTGGGACTTGGAGGGCGCGGAGGCAGCGCAGGTGCCACGAGGGACCGGACAGCGGCTGTGGATCGGGAGAAAAGCATTCGACGAGGATGGAGAGCAACAGCAGCTGCCAGCGGGATGCGACACTGTGGCGCGGCTAAATCCGATGCTTGCCAGGTGGCGCGGGGCGCACAGTGACGGCCGAGGACACGGCCTGCGCAGCCTGCTCTCTGTTGTACAAAAGCAGCGCAATTCCGCCTCGTCTCAATTCTCGGAGCGCACTTTCTTTGGAGTGGAGTGCAGTGTACGAGGCACACTCTTAGACTCGTAGAGAAGTCGTGCTGGTGCATCCGGTCGGCTCTTTCGCTTCTTGGTTTCTTCGGTTTCTTCGCATTCTGCGAATGGACTGCAGTCGTTTTGACCGTGTTGTGGCTGCAGCGTGGGGATGATGTAACTGGACGTTTCGCCGTTCGGATTCCGAGGGGAGTGGCTTGGCGTGGAGTGGAGTGTTCAGCGCACGGTGCCTGTGATTTTGCGAATTTGGGATGAGTCCTGCAGATTCGCAGCAGTTTTTTTCGTCGAGAGTCTAGAAGCTGCGGTGAATTATACAATCATGTCTGCCTTTGCTTTTTCTTCGATTGCCCCGTATCTACCACTACAAAGGGATCCCGCTTCCGGTGATCTGCGGTGGGTCACCTCTGTGGAATATGCTCTCAAAGCTGTGGCTCGGGGTGTGGACACCAGTCTGGTTTGCAATGGTCAAGCCCTCTGCGATTGTATCGTGGACATGCGTGCAGAGACCGGCCAGTGCAAGGATTTCGCAGTTCAGTACGCGAAAAGTCTTGGGCTCGGCCTTTCCCACCTATTCGATGCTGTAAGTGCAGAAACTTTGCAGACACACGAGGGAACACTTTTACCCTTGACTTTCGGTTGAATTGGTTGAGTGCATCATCAATGCTGGCGCCTCGCTTAAGTGGGAAGGGATCAATTGAGCAAATAATAGAAAAAGGAACTTTTGAATTGTATGTCTCCCTCTAACATCATAAAAAAGCTTATAGAGTCTTCATACATCACGATCGTTCATTCTGTATTGTTGACAAAAAAATTTCGGAGTTGTTATGTGATTTTTTTCTGCAGCTAGAAGATGCAGAGAAGTTTTTTAGCTCAACATTACCAGGCATGGCAAAACTCGCCATTCAGTTGCCTGAACTGTTAAAAGCACATGGAGAGCAGGTGGACAGAATTTCCGGAGGTTCAACGACATTGAGGCTGCGTATTTTAAACTCTCAACAATCTGGGATGGTTCTTTTGGATCAAGTGAGTAAGATTACTTAAGTATAACATACAGTTGGATTGCGCCTTCCATCTCAGTATAATTGCCATGATACTTCGAATTGCTCAATGATACTTTGAAAACATATGACATAATATGTTCTCCCGGACTCTGCCAGTTGTGAGGTCTAAGATTATTCTTTTCCTGTGATCAGAATCTTGTCTTGCAGCAGTAATGCGGAAAGAGTACTGTGCAAGAATTTTAGGGTTGTTTTCAGTCTTTCACACCATCCATAGTCTTGTTACGAGTGCAATATTATACTTCCACCTCGAACAGGTAGAACTAGGAAGATATCTGGACTTTTCAAGCTTTCATACGAACCCAAGGCTGTTGCCCTCCTTTCGAATCAGAACTTATGAGGACAGGAAGTTACCGATATTGAAGTTAGCTAAGGTTTTTGGGGTTGACACCTGCGAGAGTTCCCAACGGACCTTCTTACTTGGAGATATCTTAGTATAACCTTTCAACTTAAATAATAGTCCTTCCCTTCCGGCTCCCTCACCATCTTATATGATCGATTCCTCAGTCTATTACTTGTAGCACCGCTCAGCCAGGGTCTGAGTTATTCAAGCTGTGACAGTAAAAAATCTGCGAAGTACAGCCTTCGGACTGTTACAGCTAAAGATCTCTGGCATTGTCGACCTGATCATTCTGTTCTGGAGAACTTGGATTTAACAAATGTGCTCATGGGGGTTATTCGCAGGGTTTGATTGCAGCTCTGCTATCGTGCGGTTTCTTTTGTTTGTTTCCAGGTGCCCTCAAGGAAAGGAAGAGGGATGATATTCACCCAATCAATTTTGACTTTGTCTTCATGTAAGATCTCGCATGATGATTGACACATGGACTCGCCTGTAAGGAACTCCATGGTAGATACGATCATGAACCAAATGATGTCAGTATTGTCATTTGACGAATCGTGAATGTCGATCCATTCAATCGTGAAATTTGTCGTTATCGTTTATTCATGAAAGATATGTGAGTGCCTATCGTTTACCTTTTACAGGATAGGACTGAAGTTGAAGCTTTTTATCATCCTTCAGTTCTAGTTTTGGTGGACTCGCACTTATATTTCGAAGAATTGGAAATGTTTTTGCATCTGAAGAGGAGTTCCATATGCGAGAAACCAAATACAGAAGTTGAAGTGTCTCATACACTACTTCGAGAAGGTCTGTAGCAGCATGCCACAAGGGACAGTCTCTTACGAACGGAAGATATTACCCCGGAGGAGGCCTTCACCAACGAAGCCCCTTTCTGTATTTCCAAACGAAAACTTTTGGAAAAATAGCAAGCGCAGTCTTTGCAACATGAAAGTAAGCGATAATGAGCAAGGTTCTACTCATGCTAGTTCACTTTTTAACGACACTGGTCTCGAAGGTGTCGAGAGCGATTGTTACTGATCATAGGACGATGAACTGATGGTGTCTAGGTCGTCGACTTCGGAGCAATAGAGAGTGCGGGGCCAGATTACTTGCAGGTGGATTTTGCCAACGCATACCTTGGTGGAGGTGCTCTAAACCAAGGATGTGTGCAAGTACGTGTCTTGATTCGAAATTGGTTGCTTTCTTTTAAAGGCATTTTGAGTTATAAATGGTTTAGTTCGAGATTGCTGTGACAGACGGCAAGAATTGAATTTTATCGTTCACGTGAAAGTTTGTCAAAAGGGTGAAACGTGACGTCGGAGAGTATCCTTCTGAATTTGTCTCATGATTACTTCAGAAGTCCCTTTATCAGATTTTCTGTATCGCTTGTTATGGTATGCAGGAGGAAATTCGCTTTATGATCAATCCTGAGTTGATTGCAGGCATGTTGTTCATGTCACCGATGGCAAATAATGAGGCCATAGAAATAACTGGAGCGCAACAATATTCTCAATATAAAGGGTAGAGTGATATCCTTTTCTTCTGGTTCGCATTTTCGCACGTTTGAGAAAGTAGAAAAAAGTCTTAGTTCGAGCTTAGTCGACTAAATTCCTGAATGAAGTTCTTCTTAGCAGTGCACTTCCAACATATCTGTCGCATAAGATTCGATGCACGTGTATCTTGTCTGACGATGTGTTCACGAATGAAGAAGATATTCAGAAAGATCTGATCTGAATATGTGTTGCCTTTGATCTCTGGTGGATTCAGGTATGCTTCTAGTTTTGTGTTCGCAGGAGACTTCGTCGATCGCACTCCCACAGATTCGTGGGGTCGCCGAATGACTTGTATCACAGCCATAGATGCTCTATGTGCTCCAGGAGAGAACCAGTTTGACACAGATGCGATGATAAGGTCTCGCGCTTACCCTAATCCCGTGGTTCTTTTCGTTCGGACATCTTCACGTGAACATTCCGCTGCTAGATCATGAACTCGAGTTTGATGAATGTTCGGCAGTATGATCGAAATTTGATTGTTCGAGAACATCAGCAATAGAAGGGCCGAATAGGACCTTTGGTTTCGGATGGAAGATGCGTCGTTTCTCTGGGGTAATACAGGAAAGACCTCTTTGAAGTCTCTTAATGGGGTTTCTTGTCAACAGGGAGGTCAACAAAGCCTTTTGTGGGTTTCTACGTCACTCACCTGTATGCGGAGCCGTCGAACTTTGGAAACCCTTTAATGTAGAAGAAGCAAATCAGAAGCAAGCATCTGTACGTCGAATCCGAAACCAAAGTTGTAGTCGAATTTTTCTTTCAACCTGCATTGAATGTGTGCAATCAGGGGGAGCTTGCTAGGTATGCAAGTAAGATTATATACATTACAGAGTAATTATATTTTAGGCTTGTCCAATACATGTGCCTGCAGAACGTCTCCAACGGAGGGCAAGCTAATGCAGACCAGCAGATAGATTTCAGGAACGCTTCAGACGAGAGCACCGAGGAGGACCGCAAATCGGTGTCCCCTAGTCCGTGCGCAATGCATCAAGAGCAAAAGGGTATTGCAACCGGAAACTGGGGATCTGGAGCTTTCGGTGGAAATCTTGAGCTTAAAAGTCTTCTGCAGTGGATAGCTGCCTCCGAGGTTGGTCTTGCTTCGGGATCCGCCTCGTTTCTCATGATGATTTTGTGACTGAATCAAATCTTCCATTTGCCGCCAGCATTGCTCGAGAGACCTCGATGAATCGGCCTTTGTGTGAACGTATGCTCTTGTCAGTCATCTTAAAACGCCGTCGATGTTCTCTTGTATATGCTGCGATCGTAATCCTGTTCGTCACGTCGGCAAAAATGTAGTAGATCCCATTAATGCGATTCGAGCCCTGCAGAGCATTGATACGCGTTTCTTTTGACCCACCTGCTCTCTGCAGAGTTGCGGGAGTATGAAACTTCAGCTTCATGAAGGTACAATCACATCTGATTGTAGTACGTCATGTTTGTTTGTGTGCAGGCCGGGAGAGCAGAGGTGTTATATTACAGTTTTCGGGATCCACGAGCAAAGCGACTGCAAGAGGTAATCAGTGCCATCACATCAGCTTCTCGCTAAGCTGAAAGCCCTCGATCCCTTTCTAACAAACCAGAGCAGTTGACTTGAGATGAAACCGAAAACACGCGTACATATGCTGCACAGAATTGTTCAAAATTTTGCAGTACTGATCTTCTTTGCTGATGGGTGGCAGGTTATTGATTGGGTTTTACAAGAAGGATGGACTGGCTCAGAGCTGTGGACCGTACTGGTAGAGTATGGGCAGTGCAGGCTAAATCGCCAGGTCAAATGCGAGTTGTACGATTGGATTCTTCCGAACCCAACCAGAGGTCCTTCCACAAGCTGAGCTGTGCATTCAATTTGACAGCTTCTCATATTTGCATCAATAGAAGATTCGGTTGGTTTACAGGGAACCCTTTGGCAGTGTTTACCCTCGAAAGCAAAAACGGGGCAGGGATTACCCATCGGATTCTAACAGATTTAGCAATGAGCTACAAGTTACAATATGCTTGTTGTGTAAACACAACAAGCTCATTGTAATTTAGAAGCGTGTAGAGTAAAAGCAATCTCTTCTGACAGTTTAAGAACATCGGAGGTTTCTAAGGAGACAGTCAGGTCCACAAAACTGGAACAGTAGATACGAGTGCTGCGTGAGTTACCCTTCCTGATATTCGACCTCCCCAAGTCTCATAGACAGAGCTGTCGGCAACATGTCGAACAATGTCAGAGAACTATTACGCCCATCATCGCTTCAAGATGACGCCATTAAGACCGGATACATAGTAAGAAGAAATCAAGATCTTGACTGTCAGACAACGTCATCTTTCAGGGACGGAATGGCTGGTCGAAGGGCTTATATCAGGGTCATCTAGAGACGGAGAGTCGGATATTCAGATAGTAGGAAGAAACACTACTTGGGTGTCCTTCGAACTTTGTATTGGTTTTGATTCCTCTTCCGTTTCTCTCTGGTTTACTTTGAGCGCATGGACAGTCATCAGTAACCTGCACAGCCTCAGAAGAGTCCCTTGTTGGGTATGAGAGCGTATTGACAGTCACAGAGAAATACAGAGAGCCGCAGAAGCACCCGTTTATGGCTATGAGATAATGACATGTCTCGGTGACAACTTAATGGTTCCCATTTGGTGTTTTCATTTTCTTGCCAGGTAAGACATTGCGCTCGAAGACGGTGAAATTTAAATCAACTGCTGAACAGGAACTTAGGGAAAACTTGATGCAGGATAAAATTTGTACAGATCCAAGATTGATGCGGTCCTCTTCCACTAGAAAAGCACGTTCTGGGTGTTGGTGTTGGTTTTAGATGAGGTACGGCAGCATCTTTCGAAGAAACTTGTCAAGATATACACAAGGTAGCTTGTGTTTGCTAGCCCTGGCTTATCAGGCGCATTGTCTTGGCCATAGGTAATTTTTAGTTCTCTGGTTTCATCGGGCCACAGTGTTCTTGGCTCGGCGTCAGCGTTCTTTGATGGGGTCTTCTTTGTCCACTGTCTCGATGCCTTCTTAGAATTTCCGTGAACGCCAGATGGAAATCTTCTTCCAACTTATGGCTGCTATGCCACTGTACATAGAATTTGACATATCAGTTGTACGGCTACTACGCTATTTCTGTGTGCTCGATTTGAGGGAGCTACAGTAGTAAATGACCATTTATGAAGCTCGGACTCTTAAAACACCCAGCGCAAATGTGTCTAATTTTCACGAGATTTTTGCAATTTTCCTTCCTGCTTATCGTGACCAACCGCCCTCATGCAGCTCGCTAGAAAACCAGACTCTTCAAGCACTGATGTTGATATGAGGCAGAACGAATATTCTGTACTACTACGCCCACGACGTTAACTCCGAAAGACTTCAAAGCCTCACAAATTATAAAAGGCAGTACGGAAGACTGGGGAGTTTGAAACAACTCATATATCGTGTGTTAGCTTCTAAACCTGTGGAAACGTAATAATGGAATCCAGAAATTAGTATACTAAGATATTTGTAAGTCTCTCGCAATGATACTCACCACGCAAGTTCGGGAAACACAATCGCACTACATAGGTTGAATCTCTTTCGAAACTAAAACTACCTCCACAGGTTCGAAGCCCCTGTTGTCAGATTCTTCAGCTGAAGCTTGCGTACGTATCGAGGGGACTCGTCAATTCTCCATTGTTTTGTTGCGGCTTGAAAGGACGATTATGACCGTGTACATACTCTTATCACATTCAGCTCTGAAGTCACTTAGAGAGGCAGTTTCTAATGTTCACGCGGTCACTCGGAGTGATCCACTTCCACACATGTTAATACAGAGGATGGGTTGAAAGTCCGTATGCTGAGTACACAAGTGGCCTGGAGTACAAACAGAAGACGTAAAGCGATGTACAGATGCATGTTTCGGCACACAGCCCAGTCTCCTCGTACTCGTCCTCCTTTGCAAATGGATCGAGTCGGTGACTCACTGAAGCCGAATACTCAGCACCACTGCTAAATTGGTGCCCCCCAGTACGACTACTACAACCACTACCACCACCACCACCCCCTTCCCTGGTCCCAACTTGTTGATCGCATCCGATTGCTGGTCCCCAGGGTCGTTTGTGTGACAGATCAATGCTCTCGTTCCCTCGTCGTCTAGATGGTCCCTGCCCTGCAGGACCAACTTCAAAAGCCAATGGGTACTAGCGTAACGGTTGCATGGTTTGACTTCCCGACCTCGTCAAAGTCGTGCTCTATCTGCCTCGTACTGAATCTGCATCACACTCATGTTCTGGACCGCCCCCTGATAACATCATAGAATCACCATACAATTCGACTTACCCGTCGGTGGGCGTCTAGATGTGTGGAGCCAAAGTTCAGAGCTGAGCACTCACACTAATCAGCTGATCCAGCACTGCCGAAAATTGCCGAAGGCAAAATTCGTGTGTTCATGTATTTCGGAATCTATATCTTCCACGCTCTCGTTTCTCGAGACCCCGACCTTCGGCCCCAGACTTTCAAGCATCTGATGACGCTCCGATCCTTGACTTGAACGGAAGCTTTACCGCTGCTATTGCCGAGCTGCCGAAAACCGAGTGAGTGGATGAGTGAGAAAAGCAGCTCCAGAATCTCTGGACATGCATGTGAGTCATTAGCTTCTGTTCCCACCAGTAGACCTGAGGAAGTGTAATGACCGAGTTTACTACTTTCATGGAGGATTCACTGGTAGATGCGAGCTCTATACCACCACTCGAGGAAGAGGACGAAACTGAGAAGCCGGCTGCAGATGGTGATTCGCAGGAAGAAAAGAAATTAAGTGTTGGGGCGGAGTTGAGGATTCTCGGGTCATGCCTTTGGGAGAAAGCATGGTTTCAAATTGCAGCCTTGTCAACCGAAGCAACATCATGGGGCGTCTTAGTGGTGCTCGCTGCTGTTTATCTGGCGATGGATCCTCTGGGGTTGATGGCACACCTCCTGGACTTCTATCCTCAAGGCTGCAAACCGCATGAATGTTTGCTTCCTGTGCCACATGTGAATGAGTGGCCCGCTGATCCTGCTAGCAAGCTTTTGAATTGCAGTGTGGCCTTTCATACGGTGGTGCCTGGGCCCGAGAGCTTAGCTTGGGACGCACAGGTCGAATCGCCATTCACCAGCCCAAACCTTCTCGTTTCCAGTGAAGCTGCATATTTCCTCCTCAGAGAAATTGACCACATAACAGCTTTGCAAAATGTCGTGGAATAAATGAGCCTCTTCTGCGTGATTCCTGCAGCACATGTCTTGGTTAAGGAGTTGCAGGCATCCCATGCCCTTATGTAGTACTTATCTCTAGATCTAAGAGCTGAGAGTGAAGTGCGACTTGTTTTCGGCATAGAACTTGTTGCGGAGATTAGAGATATTCAAGCAACAAACTGTCCAATTGGAAAATAAACTTGAAATGAATGATGAAATGACAGCATGAGGGAGTTTTTGAACGAAGTCATGTCCTGTGTTGATGTACCTTGGTGCAGGGTCGGATCTATACTGGCGTTGCTGACGGGAGAGTCGTTCGATGGAGTGAAACAGATGGGGAATGGAAAACTTTTGCCTTTGTTTCCCCTTACTGGTGGTTACCGTCACCCTCAAAGGGTTTTACTTCTATTGTCTATTTTGTTTGCGCTAATGCTTCAGGAAATGTTCAGTTTCGGTTTTTCAACTCTGGTGGATGAAATCGAAACATTTCAGGGCGCAGCAGCTTTCACGCACACACTCAATTTCAGTCAACGCTCGTAGACAACACCATCCACAGCTTATTTTTGACAATTTGTCGACGTTGAACTGGACTAACAGCTTCTTCACAAATGAACGAATAGCTAATATCGAATCAAATCGATTAAATTAATCCGAAGCATTTAAATTTAAATCTAAATTTAAATATGTGAAAATAACATGTATAAAACTAGGGAATAATGTCAGTGACTGAAAATATATTCGTAATTTAGGAAGGAAACCGAAGGAACTAATCGAACCAAAAGGGCCTACCTAAAGAATATTGACTTGAAAAATATTTATTATAATTCTCGAATCTAGGAGTGTTGCTTGGCTGTGGCGAATGTTTCGATCAAGTCTTGTACGGTGCAAAGTTGCTGGGCTGCTAATTTGAGTTTTCTATGACCTCTTGGCAATTTTATGAGCACTGACGTCCGGGTTCAACTACAGGAGTTCCGAGCAGTGTGATTTCAAGCACAGGGCTAATACATTGCTCGAACTGGAACACAAATGTGGGCGGCCATTGGGGTTGAAGTTCAGTCCTTCAGGTTCCTTGTACATAGCAGATGCCTACTTCGGGCTGGCTGTTGTGGGGCCCGATGGTGGTTTGGCAACAGTCTTATGCAATCAATCCGAAGGTCGATTGCACCTGTTCACGAACGACGTCGACGTTGATGAACATACTGGCGTTGTCTATTTCACTGTAAGCAGCCTTCGGACTCAGCGAAAGTAAGCACATCTTTCTCTACCCCCTGACGATTCCCCATGTTCAGAAAATTGCTTCATCTTATCCTTCCCGAGGAACTGGGACGCGAATCAGTGCAACGGTAGATAAAACGAAGTGCACACTTTTTACATATACTACATTTCTGAATACTCATTCGTCCAGCTCCTCCACGTTTCAAGAATCACAGTAAACCAGAGGCATTAGTGGGTTTGCCTGACATGACGGAGACGTCCGAGTAATTTTCTGGTCGGTTAATCGTTCGGGGCGAAAACGTGCTCGTTGATCACTCTCCTGATGTGCATGATTTCACAAGGAGCTGAGTGAGAGGTCGGCCGGAGAAAGAACGTGCTCGTACTTTGCCTTTCACTGCCTGACAGTCTAGAGGCTATTGCATATCATGCACGTTCCTTCATCTGCCGTTGCGGTTGCGGTTGCAGGCGGTACAATCGTCTGGTGCAGGAAGCCGATCAAACAGGACGAGTTCTCAAGTACGAGCCGGAATTAGGGAAGACAACGGTGCTGCTGAAGGACTTCAAGTATCCAAATGGGATTGCTTTATCCGGAGACGGGTCTTTTCTCCTCATAGCTTCCACCACCACTAACAGGTTCCTCCTTCGTCCCTTCGTCCCTTCTTCACGCCATGTTTTGTAACTCTCTTCTCACCAATCCGCCACTTGTTAGTATAGTCCGGTCTCATTCGTCATCTCGGTTAGATGGTTGTTGAGATCCTCGGGTCGACACGAATCCGCTTATAGACTCAACCCACCACTAGAAGGCAGCGAGATTGAAGCTCATGTCCGCAACGAGTGGGCACCACTTCAAATGTCAAGTTCCAGAATTTTACTCATGCTGTATACATCTGAAAAGCTCATTCTCTCCTCGATCGGCAGGGCAGCAAAAAGTGTCATAGTCGATGTCTTCCCACACAAGACGAAGCACAATCTTGTCGAGTCTTCTCGCCCAAGGAATCATTCGCTCGCGCCGTCGGCATTTCCTCGAGAAGATGTCCCGTCTCGAGAACATACGGACGGCGCGCCATACGCGTTCAGCGTAACATGCTGAGTCAGCATGGAATACGCAGTAGTACACGTTGGGGAGCTTTTCAACGTTCTCGAGACATCCTACGAGAGCAGCAGCCGTTTACTTCGAGATTAATTGGAAATCGAACTCTTGCAGGATTTTCAAGTACTGGTTGACGGGGCAGAGGACTGCGACGATCGAGGAGTTCGCGCGCCTGCCGGGATACGGCGACAACGTACGCGCGACGGAGGACGGGAAGTTCTTCTGGGTGGCTCTGCACAGTCGCCGCCACCACATCCACTACGTGATGTCGAACCACGTCTGGGTGTCGAGGCTCACCGCCCCGTTGATCCGGGCGTCCAAGCGCTTCGCGCACGCCGTGGCGGGGGAGGTCGAACCCATGGTCATCCGGTACAACCTGACCGGCCACGCGGTGCAGGTGCTGGAGGACCGGCTGGGCGCGTCCGGCGTCAAGTTCGTCTCGACGGCTCAGGAGCGCTGTGGCACTCTGTGGCTCAGCTCCATCCACCTTCCCGTCATCTGGTCCTACCGTCTCGGCGCCTGAACCTCGGCCGTTCGGTGCAGGAGTCCATGCCGCAGTTGACACCGCGCGCAGTCGACCTCCAGCAGATGCAATGCTGTACGTCCTGTTGCTGCGACGGAGATAGGGTAACAGAGTCCCCCAGTTCCACAGTGATGGCGTTTTCGATGGGCCTGCCTTCGTTTGGGATTTGCATTTTCTTACTACTTGAGACCCGATGTATAAATGATCAGGAAGGCCTTACGAGAAAAGGTGATTACAGTGGTAGGAGCGCAGTTTTCTCACCTCTTAAAAGTCGATATATGGGGCCCCATAGTATACAATATGAACAATTCGTGAACCGGTAGCAATCCATATTCACGTATATTTTATTCAAAGACGAGATAATATTGTTTAGAATAATTATGGGATCTCGATAAAGTGAAATGTTCTGGCTATGCTCTATTTCAGGCTGCAGGAGTGGTTGGTTGGTTGGTTTAATTTGATATAAAATGTCCTTCACTCGGCTGATCATTCTATCGTTGGATGCCTATTTCTAGATTTCATCTCTTTTAATGGTACGTTAATCAACATTTAGAATGTAAAGCAAATATATAATTTTAGTTAGATATTATTATATTATTACATAATTTATAATAATAATATTTTTTATATTATTATACGGAAGAATACACTACGGAATATAATACATATTTAAATAATACGGAAGACATTATGAATACATTATAATGTTCATGATTTATTTTCATCTTTATGACATGAGCAATTAGCAGTGACATTATGCGACTATATAGTTATGTCAAAGTTAGGATTTTACAAGTCAACTGAGTAGAGTGCAACTTTTTTCAACGATCGTAAGAATATATTTTTATGGCAGGTGTTGTTCAAAAACGTCATGAAAGTATTATAGTTTGTTGGCAAAATTTGACGGTTGGATTGCAACAATGTAGAGCCATAGATTGATGCACATGCAGGACGTGCAGATTGCAAAGTCAGATTTCCTTCAAATTGAATTTACTACTCGAAGTTTCAAAAGTTTGAAAGAGAATCAGAACTAGCATCATCAATTTATTTTTTAAAAGACTGGCTAGTTTTTTTTTTTTGGTTTGAATACGGTTTTATCAACAAAAGAGTACCCAAAGCGTAGATCAATTATCAGCATGAGTAGAACTAAACTAAAATAAGAGCAGTTACTGTAAAATAAAAATCTGCAGTTGCAGGAGTGAAGAATAATTTGTAGATCTATAACAGATGTGCTAATCTTGGAATCAAGAGGATTCTAGTTACCAGAGTTGTATCAAGTGAATCACTTTGCAAAAGAGAGTGTCTCTTAATTTGCCAGTTTTGCATAAAGGACAAGTAGAGTTTACATTAATTTTATTACCTCTACATGTATTATTACGCTCTTGACTTTTGGTTAAGGGCTTAAATCTAGCTAGCTCTAGTTTAATTAAGAATTACATTAGGTTTCATTAAAAATATTAACGTAGAGTAATTATATAGTTTATGTTTACTATATTCAAGACATGAGTTAAAGAAAAATCATATAGAGTCTACTCAAATTTTGACTTAATTTATGTTAGCTTGAACTAAGTTAGTGAAGTTGATTAGACTGTCACTATATAAGAAAGTTTACAGAAGTTATTGCTGGAATGTTTTAGGATTTTTTCATTAAAGTTCTAGTAGTTTCATGAACATAATGTGCCATGATAAACAAAATATTTCCAGTTTCAATTGGAATCATTTGTGTGTGTTTTTGTATTGACTATACGTGAGAGAACATTTCAGCTTTTCTTGTGGGGTAAAATTATATTTTTCATTTTTTAATACTTGAATATCAATATATCAATAATAAATAAATTAAATTCAAAATTTAGATATCGATTTATAAATTTTGAGATAAAATTATTAAATTCTATCATGGAAATTGATAAAAATATTTACTTAATATTTATAATATTAAAAAATTTAAGTTTAAAAGTTTCTTCATAGATAAAAATAATAAATCCTCCTTCATAGATAAGATTAATAATTTTATTATAGATGAATTAAATATTTATCTCTAATTTTAATTTATACATAATTTACGAATATTTAAATTCATGTAATTTAAATTTTCGTTTTTAGAAATATTTAAATTCATAATTAAAAATTTACCAAAAATGAAATAACACGTCTAAAATTTTGCAAATTATAAAATTTTATTTCAAAATTTTATTTAAAATAAATAATTTCAAAAAAATTAAATTAATTTTTTAATTAATTATTATGATTTATTTTAAATTTAATTTATCATATTTTAAGTTTTTAATATGATTATAAGAAATGTTGAACATTAAAATTTCTAGAAAAATGAGAAAAATGAGATTTTATTTTACTGACATATTAAAATTAATTCAATTAATTGATTCTAAGTTTTTCTTCAAATATATGATAATTTTTTACAATATTGATTACATGTTATATATATCAAAAATTATTGCATGTCTTGATTAATTTAAGCTAAATAATCCAAAATTAGTTACACATGTTAGTTTCTTATCATAAGTTTGTGAAACAGGTTTTAATGTTATAATTTGTTTATTAATTTTAACTGATGTGATTTCAAAGCATAAAGTTTTTTATACAAATAATGTTGGTTAGGAATTTATGTGAATGACATATATTAATGAACGACAAGTGAAAAAAAAAAATTTTAAGAAAAATTTACAATTGTTGATTATTGATAGTTTGTTGAAAATTATTTTTCTTAATGTCACAGTAATTTTTTTTGATTTGAAACATATCAAGTATAATTTATACCAAAATGATTGAATTGAAAATATGATGTAGATTAAGATTAACATCTAACGTCTATATATCTTACTTGATTATTAAGATATGGATTTGAGCATGATTAGTTTCATAATATTCAGGAGCCGCTTATAATCATGATTCAGATTTATGCTAGTTCATAGTATTTTATGGAAAATTTACCATTAAAAATTGTGATGAAGAGTCTAATTTTAAGTTAAAAAGTTTTTTAAATTTTTTTAAAATTTAAACAAAACTTGAACTATTTAATATATTCAATTTAAAAAGATTAAATTATGATTAAGTAGTATATTTTGGCTGGATTTTTAAATTTAAATCATGTTGGAGTTGTTTTGATTTCATTAAGGATCAAATTTGACATTTTTCATTTTCATCAATAGCAAAATATAAATGAATAATAAATTTTTTGACATTGATTTAAATTCTACTAATTTTCTTGAGACATGAGAGATATAAAATTGTTGCTGACTCAACTCTTGGACAAAACAAAGATGAGAATTGACGAGATATCTCAAACCAAAATGAGATAAGGTTGGAGTAAATTTATAATTCATGAAAGCACAAGTATTATACAATAGATTTTGAGTAGAGTGAAGTATAATATCATGATAGTACTCCAAGCAAGATCTAGAACTTCTAGAATTCTATTATGACTCCGAAGTTGATTGTATAGTAAATTCCTGAAAGCAAGAGCATGATACAACGGATTTTGAAAAGAATGAGGTATAGTGTACCAAAATTACTCCAAGCAAGGTCTAGAACTACTATGAAGCTACTATAACTTAGAAGTTGGTTGTGTATGTCACGTTTGTGACAAAAACGTTGACAAGATAGAGTATATGAACAAGATAAATTCTAACATAACTTACAAGATTGGAGATTTTTATAAAATTAAAAGATTAATTCATGACATGTCAAAATTGAAGAGCAAAATTAGAATATAAGCATATGTTTTGATTAAATTTTATTTTTTTTAATTTTTATAGTTTAACACAAAAAAACTCATAATTTAATCTTGTACTTAGATTTTAAATATTTTAATCCAAATAATTCTAATGTATGACGAGGATTGATATCTAAGCTCAAAATTATGATATTTATTATTGATAAAAAATATAATATATTTATCACAATATAATATAATTTTTTTTAAGTAAGAATTTATATTTATGAAATAATAGCTTTGAATGACATTACATGTTAATATTAAGTTGAAATGATAATTGAAATTTTATAATAAGATTGATTCACAAACATTTGCATTGCAATGTATGATACATTTGATCTAACAACAAATAATCTATATGAGAGATATGGCAAGTTAAATTTTGTTAGAATTTTCTATCGACACATAATTTTTCAATTTTTTTTTAAATTTGAATAATTATAGAAAATATGAAAATTATAAGCTATAAATATTTATTATGGAAGCAATCATAATAAATAATGTGTGAATGATTTATTCACACATTACATATAAATATCAAATATAAGAATTAATGAATCATGAATCCATTCGATGAACAATTTTTAATCTTTGTATAAAACATGAGTATGTGGATAAATACAATTTTTAAATTAATTTTTTTATATTTTCAATATTTGATTAATATAAGATTCAATTCTCAATTTCAAACTTTGTTTATTTTGCAAGTATACACAGAATATTGTGAATGAGATGAAAAAAATTGATAGAAATAGAAGAAAAAAGAGGGATAATTACATCAAATCCAACAATATGAAAATCAGCACATAGATTTATAAGACAAATCAAGGAAACACCACGCAAACTTATATTTGATGAAGGACAATCTTTCAGGAATGTGTGTAAGAAACGGGGAAAGAAATGTAGTGTAGGAACAAATGAAATGGGCCCGTTTTTACTAGAGAACGCTCCCCTCGCGATTGGCTGGATTTTATATCTTAAATTTACAGTATGTCTAGGTTTGCTTCAGACATGGGGTGAATCTGGTGAAGTGCTGACACGATGATGTTTGAGGTGAATCTATTGTTATTCCCTTGACGTGGAGAATTGTAAAATGAATCGAGAAAACTAAATACTAGTGAAAAGTAAAGAGATAAACCTTTATTTGAAGATTTGCGGTGAACGGAAATTACCCGTTGGTATGTTAAGATTTAAGATTCAGCTAATCGTAGTGCCGTTCCCGAGTAAAAACATGCCCCGTGCCGTCTCTAGACATACTCGTGTTAGAAAGATAAAGTATTATGATTTTGACTGTATTTTGTGTGTTTCCAGACGATTTCTTACATTTGTTACTGTGCGGAAACCTAATTGTGTAAATATCGGGACTTTTCCCGATGAATAAATGTTCAGATTCTTTTGGCAACTATCGACGAAAACCAAGAACAGAGACGAGTGTCCGGAGAATGTAAGAGGGAGGGGGGAAAGGTTAGAGGAAGCAAGAGAAGGAAATGGTGCAGTGAAGCCCCCGGTGCTGAGATTGGCAGGTTGACTAGCCCAAGTGTATGCAAAGTGTGTGGAGACGGGAAGTTGAAATGGGTCCACCGTTAGAAGACACCGGATGATTGAAAAGCAGCAACTCTCTGTTCTGGAGTAGTCAGGCCGTTGCAGACAGAACAAGACATTAGAGCACGTGGATATGGAAAAAATCGATGGCCAACGAGGCGAAGGAGAAAAGCATTGGACTTCATGACGACCCGC